TCCTTGTAAGTGCTAATCTGTATAATGTACTAGCTGCGGTTCCCGGTCCAGCCCGGGCCGAGAATCCAGAATGGCCCAGCATAGGGTGTGCTTCAAGATGTATACTTACCAGTCCTCCACTTTCTTCAGTTCATATCTTCTGTTCTCTCCTGCTTCACCTCCATGTCAGTTTTAGCGCTCGTGTAGTATCCGTGGTGAATAGTCTTCTTTCTTGACCGGCTTGCTTCATGACACCGCATGCTCCTCACAGCAAAATGTAAATGATCTCTACCACTCCTTACTACTCACTTGGAGAAATGAATGGTATAGCCTTCATTTTCCTAGATTTTAGTAAACAAAATCAATAAATCGATAGAAGGACCCAGCGAATTGTCGAAAAAAGTAGCCTATCTTTTGCGCCGTGGCTTGTTTATAGGGAAACAAAATTCAGCCTCTTTGGTTCACATACAAAGGAGTCTATAAGCCACAAACATCCTAACAAACACGGTACAGTGTTTGAGTTTTATATATATATATATATATATATATATATATATATATATATATATATAGATTAGGTCCTTCGATAGGTTCGTAAAGTTTTCATTTCTGTTTCCTTTTTTTGAGAAGCGGTGGAATTGCGCAAGATGCATAATCGTCGAGAAGAGCTAACATGCTTTTCAAAACACTAATTATTAGACTGAACGGTAAAAAATGGGACAGCACTTTTATTAAACTTTGATTTTTTGTTCTCACTGACAATAAGCACGCTGCAACTCAAATGTCGCTTACATAAATTGACCTTCGCCCATTATTGTGGCAACGTGTTACCGCTCCTCTCTCATGACCTACGCGTTACGCCGTGAAGAACTTAGACAGAGTTTTTTGAACATTTCTCAATCTTGCGCTGCTATACCGTAAGCTCGTAAAGCAAATGACATAACATTTAAAAGAGCTCTTCATGCTCTTTCAAACAGTTTGTTAAACACATGAGTCTCTTTTTTGAATTCAAAAAGCGAAAAAAAACCCTGAAAAATATTAGGTTGATGCATAATTCCTCAACAAAATAGGTACAGACCGCAATAACTCGGAATAATCCTATATCCCAATTAGGATTCGATATATCATTAGATAGAGCAAACCTAGCTCTACAATATAGTGCTTAAAGTTTTGCAGTAGCTTTGATCCAAGCGAACATCGAAGCCAAAAACGAAAAAGATCTAAGCAGCCCAAAAAATCAAGAAAAATTTTGAAGTCCGTTTAGAAAAATCCTTCAAAACTCCTATTTTGCTCATGCATTGTCATTTCGTATAAGGCATTTCTCTATGCAGTTGCTGTATTTTTCTCTCAGCTAAAAATTGAGAAAACGAAGTTTTTCATGTTTTTTCCAAAGCAATGCTGAAATGTTTTAGCACTAACAGTTGTATACTACAGGACCTTAAAACCGTGAATGTGAATTTTCATCTCTTTACAGCAGCTGGTTCACGGGAAATATCAAATTTCTAGCAACTAGGCAAGAAAAATTTGGACAAGTAGAGCCAGATTCGATATTTCTCGTAAACTAGCAGTTCCAGAAAGCTGAAAATGTAAAGTTTCACTGCTAACGGCATGTACTATACAACTGTTAGTGTTAGAACATCTCAGCACTAATTTGGCAAAAACATGAAAAACTTCGTTTTCTCATCATCTAGCTGAGGAAAATATACAGCAACTGCACAGATAAATGTCTTACGTGGAACGTCTACGCATGAGGAAGCAAGAACTTTTGTAGGAGCTTTTTGAACGTACAATTTTGTTTTGATTGGTCTTAAGGTTTTCGGACGCATGGTTCTTTTCAGTTTTCGGCTTAAAACTTCGCGTCGATCACAGCTGGTGTAGATATTTGAGCAATAGAGCTAGGTTTTTTTATTGTAGAGCTAGGTTTGCTCTATCTAATATATATATATATCGAATTCTATTTGGAATATAGGATTATTCCGGATTATTGCGGTCTGTACCTATTTTGGTGCAGGAATTATGCATCAACCTAATAGCTATTTTTGGCGCAATAAAAAACCAAAAAATTGTTTCACCCTATATTTTCCGAAGATAGATAAAATGTGAGATAAGCTGCATATGGATGGATAGAGCGTAAAAGGCTCTTTCAGATGGTACTAGAGAACATATGTTTACCTGCAAAGAATTGAATAGCACGTATCTTTGTCCTCAAAGCTGCTAATGGCCATATCGCCCAACTATGAAAGTTGAGGCCACCAAGCCGTCGTGGGTTTGATGACTGACTATCCCACCACCCAATCCAGTTTTGGTAATTAGGGTGGTCTCACATGTTTCACTGCGCAGAAACTTCTCAAGTTCATGATTTGTCGGAGAGATTAACTTTGCATTTCAGCAAGTAAAAAAAATTATTAATTATGTACATGACCTTATACAAAGTGTCCCAAAAATGTGAACACTATTTGATCGTTAATAACTCCCTTGCTTTCAAATCTTGCCGAGCTTGAGGCACTATTCTGTAGAGCGAGGTTCAATTAGATTTACAGTATAGGACGAATCACCGATCTTTCTTCGTTACTATAAGATTACGATAAGAACTTCTAGCATGTGAAACCACTGTGAAATATGCCATCTGACAAATTTTATTCAAAAATGCTTTTAGCTTTTTTGACGGTATAATCATATTTCTGACAAATGCTGGAAATTTAGTTTTTACGGTCTACCTGGGATAACTTTGAGAAGCATCACAGTAAAATGGAATTTTGATATTCGAAATCAGCGGCTTCCATTACCATAGTATAAGAGTTATTGGCTTGTTTGGTTTTGTTCCGAGGCAGAATATGGTCTCCAATGGCCTAAAATCTTTGTTAAAGTTCCCACCGTAATCCTAGTAGTGAAGAGCGGTCGACGATTTGCTTCATGCTGTGGATCTAATTTGAACCTCGCTCTACAGAATGGTGCCTCAAGTTCGGCGAAAGACATAAAAGCAAGGGAGTTATCAATGATCAAACAGCACATTTTTTGGGGCACCCTATATAGGTATTATCTGAAAGAACATAACATATTGTAACATCTATTGAAACTGGAAAGTCCAATCACTTTTCTTTCTTAAGAATCCTCCAGTTATTTCATAAGTGCCCCATTTTTTACCGTTCGCCCTAATATTTTCCATAAAAAGCTGACCTGCTTTGATTCCCCAGCTTTCAAAGGAGGATTTCTAAACAGCATAAAGGCGCAATTTGTTCTTTTTGCCGATTATGGAAATAGGCGTTTTCATGAGTATTAGTATGAGAAGTAGTATGAGTATGAGCAGTACCGTCAATATGAGATGAAAAAGGGACTGGATTGCTTTGAAAACAAAGAGTCTGCATGGGTGACACCTGAACAAGACTTTTTGCAGGATTGGCAAGAGGTTTTGCACTGAGTTTTGCTAGGAAAGAACAAGACGGTCGTCCATACCGTATGCAACCCGATTGCACGTTTAAACTGCACAAAAAACCTAATAAACAGGTCGAAATTTCTTCGCAATAAAAATTGGTCCCCTACGGCAATCGTCGTCATAGCTGTCCTGCAAGACTAGAACGAGAGCTACATCAATACTCAATGTACTCCTAAGATCTCGCTCTAGCATATTGTCATCTATTTTAGTCTATCACCGATCATGTGAAGGACGTCTTTTTGATTTTGAAGACGATCTCAGGCGCTGATTAGATGATTTTTTGGGGTCTAGACCCCCTGAGTTTTGGAAAAACGGAACTGAAAATCTTATGGCATGGTGGTAGAAGGTTACGCGCAATACCTAAACATACATTGTTGATTGAATTTTGCCAAAACTTTGTCGTGTTTTTGGCTCTAATTCTGCTCTCTAGACTAATCTTCTTTTCGATTTTGCTTCGTCTTTGTTCTTGACGTCTGACCGCATAGTCACTTATGACTACGGCTTTCCAGGCTCCGAAGAAGGCGTTGAACGCCGAAACGTCGACGTCAACCAATAAAGTATTGTTACCAATCTTGGTAGTAGCTCGAAAACTACATCTTCAAGTGATTATCTTGCCAAGATTCAAGCGCAACCGAACAATGCCAAAACTTTGTCATTTCGTTGATTTATAAAAGCTCTACGAACTTATGAAATGACCAAATACATTAAACTCAAAGTCTGTGAGGATGTTCATTAGGTTGTTCGTTTGCTATGGAAGCGTCAACCGTTGAGACGATTGAGCTGAAATTTCGCACACGTATGTTTTCGACTCCGGCGGTAATTAAGGGCTACTTTCCGCGGCGATTTACTGGGTCCTTCTATCGATTTTTTTGATTTGTTTACTCAGATTCAGAAATGAAAACTTCTCATGCTCTAAACTGATCAGTGTTCCATAATTATGTAAGCAGAGAGTTCACTTCAATTTCGAAGTCGACAGGATGCAGCATTTCGTCTCAAAGCGCTTTTTGCGCATGTTTAAAAGGTTTAGAGGCGCAAGTTTACACGTTTTGTTAGCTAAACTAATTTGGAGTCTTGGGTGAGACCGGGGGCTACCAGCTAGTTTCAAATAAGCTTACTGCATCTGCTGACATGGGAATTGATACTTTTCGACTGCCAATATTAAACTGGAAGAGGGAGCAGCAGCCAAGTAGTCTAAGGCCCTAGGCGTATTTCCATGCTATTTTCGTCACTGGCATTTAGATCTGTCAACTGAAGTCCAACGCGCGCAACCTACAAATGCATAACGTGCATAACCTTTGTAGAGTGATAAAATGTCATTAGCCTCTGAAAATTGAAAATGCATTAATGCATGAAGCTAGCTTATGGCATTTGCTAGTCCCAAGACTTATTTGTGCGAAGTTTGCTGTTTAACGGCTTAAGAGAGAACATTGATAACCTTTATATTCGAAATAAACATATAAGCATCATACATTGTATTTTGCGTATGCAAATCTATGGATCATAGCTCGTTAGTAATTTCTCTAAAAGGAAAACATCAATGAGCTACTTTGACTCTTTTCAAATCACTTCTTATAACTCTGTTTTACAGCACATTCAAATGGCAAGCTTGATTGGTGCAAAGTTTCTGGAAATCGAAGACGCATCTGAAAGGATCACTCTGGTGTACGACTACACTTCATTGACAAATGCTACTGTAGCTAAAGAACTTGCGAAGAAGAATGAGCCAATTATGAACGCGTTTAATGCCGCATACGATGGTAAACACAATCTCTTTAGTGAGTTCATTCGTATATTTTGTGTCCTTACAGTTGCAAATGATCCGAATTGGAAATGGGGCCATGGTCAGAATGCGCAAAGAATAGGTCATACCCTTGCTCGTAAAGACCATTATATTTCCAACTTTCCGCGACAGCTGCGACCGTTTGAAATTCGGCTCAATGTTTTGGTAATCCATACATGAATTACAGAAGCTATGGCCATATCCTGGCAGCATAATCGCAAGCGTCTGACGTTTAGAGCATTAGATCACTATCTCAATTCCGTCAGTGATGAAACTATGAAAATCAAGTCATTGCCCGTTTTTATAACTCCTGTGATGATTCTTTTGACCATGGGTGCGATAAGGTCAGAATGAATCTTTTGAGGTAAAGGGCTCACAGTGGTCGCAACGACTTCCGGTTAAAGAGTGTTTCAAGTAATTTAGGGCCGCACGCATTAACATTCCTGCCGGGGAGAGGACCGCAGCTCAAAAGAAAGCTTCATATTCTAAAGCTCCAGATATCTTGATTTCGCGCTGTCTACCTGTCCGCAGGCATTCCTACTATTCTTCACTATGAACATAATAAATAGGTGCGAGAAGCTGTACAAGCCGCATTTTTCTGTTTTGTATGACCCCTGATGATCTCCCGCGGCCGACCGTTTTTTCTTATAAGTCATTTTTCTTTTTTTAAAGTTAACGAAAACCTTCCAAAGTTGTGCTGATTATCTAACATATCAGTGCTAAGCATTTTACTGATGAGAACAAATGAGTTTTTGAAAAATCGGATTTTTGGTAAAGCCCAACTTTCGACTTGCGGTTCATTGCAATTTTCATGACTCCGATACATCATTTGTTCTTATCAGCAACGTGCTAACCAGTGCTGGATTAGATAATCTGCAGAACTTTGAAAGCTTTTCGTTAACTCTGGTGAAAGAAAAATGATTTCAAAGAAAAGCGCCGGGGATTATCAGGGATCATACGAAAGCTGGAAAATGTGGCTTGTACAGCTTCTCGCTCTTGTTCAATGTGTTTGTAGTGGATACTAGGAACACTTACGGATAAGTACACAACGTGAAATCCAGATATCTGCAGCTTTAGAATATGAAGTTTTTAAGCAGCGATCCCCTCCCAGCGGGGATGTTAGTGCATGCGGCCCTTAGAAGACATATAACGTCGACCGGGGGAAGGGGAGAGATGGGTTCTGATTGTGGATCGGGAAAAGGGGGGAGGATGGGGGGGGGGAGTGTGTGTGATTGTAAATGGTTTGCATATGAGAGCGGAATTATCTCAAGTGTGAAATGCTAATAACGCGCGACAACAAATGGCGTCCTTACTCTCAACTCTTCAACAGACTTAGCATTCAGTTCGATTCTTTGCATACAGAGACAGGACGCGTTCGAAAGGCGCCATCATCTTTGATCAGTTGTCGTTTATCTCTCTTATCGTCTGCACTCCCTCCAAACCCAATCCAAAATAGTAGGAATCAACTACGTCTAGTCTCTGCTAAATCGGCCGTACCTTTCGTTTCATATAGTTAGGGAGGTATCTGCAGCGTGCCTGCTCCAATTCCCTAACAACTGCTACAACTCAAAAAAGGTTGGAAATAGAAACAAGGTGTATGAACTACATGTGTGGCCTGGCACATCGTCATCTATCTGAAAAGTGTGTCACAGCTGTTAACGTACTTGCCTGTTCTACGATCAAGAACTTCATCAAAGAATTGTGGCTGTCACTCCTCCATTTACGTCCAAGGACGGCTCTATAAAAAATATTGAACGCTAAACGAGTCCTCAAGTGAGCTTTTTGCAGGCTTAGCGTTTGGAGCAGCACGAGAACTGTTCAACTCTTATGTACTTGTATACCAATATGTAAAGCAAATCAAGCTTAATTAGTCTCAAAATTCAAGGAAATTATTGGGAGCAATGTGACGACTACTGGCTATCGTGAGACTATGAGCATTTTATACACAAAAAAATGTAATATATTGAGTTGATTCATAATTAATGCACGTTTTTCTCACCTCTTCTTTTGGGTGCTGGTAAATAAAATTTTATGGCAGGGATCAATGTATTTATTAAATTTATTTAAATTATTGTCTATGAACTTTTATTTGACGTGTAATGAATTTCCGAGAAACTTTTTACGCTATCTAAAAGAGCGTTTCTTCTAGTTTCTTGTGCAGCCCTTCGCTTTCGTAAATCTAAGTTCATTATAAAGTTTTGAACATTTAAATAAAGGAGACTAAATCCCAAAATTTTTGCTTTTCACTCTTTTTGCCCTAAATCCATGAGGAATAGCCGGATCAATTTCAAAAAATATGCATAAGGATTGAAAAACTTTGGCTACAAGATGCTATTTGAACAAAATTCTCCATGAATTCTGGGCCGAGAAATTCAATTGCGAACTTGAATGATCGTCGCAGCCCCCGTACCATATAAAACTTTGAAGCAAAAGGCGATTGCAGGTCTTTTGCACTATCCAGCAAGGTAGACCTAGTTCATTTGATGGTAGAAAAGCGCTAGGGTTTTCTCACTTTCCAGCGGAGAAAAATGAAATAATTTCAAAAATAAACAATTTTTGAACCCGCCGAGATGCCAGAAAAAAGTGAGTACTTTCGACTTTTTCGCGATATTTTCTTTCAAAAATTTTCCGCTGAATCCAAACTTGGCATAACTGCTCAAGAGACCCTTGGCTACACGAAGAGCGAAGACTGCTTTACCCCACTTTATTTCAACATAAGTTATGCTCTCTCAAAGTGGAGGCTTCTGAAAAAAGTTGTTGGCAATCTTCAGGCCAGAAAATCTTTCTTGTGATAGGTACAATCACGTAAAAGCATCTGTTTCATAGCCACTGATTTGTTGGTTACAGTAGTTTTTATTGAGCGCAGAAATGTCTTTTCAAAAAAGGATTATCTCGGTTGAAAGTTGAAGTATAGAAAACGTGCATTAATTATGAATCAACCTAATATGTAAAACTTGGTTCTGAGAAGTGTGCTAGCAGCAAGCAGGAAGTATCAACGATGAAGCACGAAGAAAGAGTTACATATATCTAAAACCTAGAGATCTCTGAAATCAAGAAAAGTAATATACATAAAGTGACACTTTTCTTGGCTCTGTTTGTATGTAATTCATAAGAATTGGTACAATGCCACAAGCCTGGAGCCTTCTCGCATTTATCTTTGACCTTGACGTCCATGGCGTGGTTGAGGGTAGAAGGAATGACGACGGGAAACTTGATTGCCGCGAAAACTTTGAATTGTGCTGAAGACTACTGATATTTGATAAGACTGAAATTATGTTTGTTCCAGAAGTTACATTGAAAGGAAAAACAAGATAAAAAGAAGCGTCTTGTTTCCTGATCACAAAATGTATAAACTGTTTAGAAACCAAAATTACATTCAGAAGAGAGTATCAATAATTTCAAAAATTGAAAAGAAACAAGAGTGATGAATCAAAGTGGGAATAGATCTACGTTTGTTCTGTTTTTAGACATAGACAGAAGATATTTGAACGAATATGATGAAAAAGGAAGAAGATTTATGAGTGTTTACGACTTTATGAGTATTCACGGACTTTCAGGAGAGAAAATAAAACTGTAGATGAACACCAACGTCAACAGGGAAGGTGGCTTCAGAACAATGTTTTCCCCCATCCTCAGAAATTATGTAGTTAGCCAGGGTTCATTCCATGAAAGTACCCTTTGAAGGGTGTAGTAATTGATTCCCGGCTCCCCATGAGTCAAGATAAAAAAATTGATAATTCCTGTAGATGAACAACTGGCACACCGGGATGGTCACCCTTGGAACCGTCTCGTCCTCCAACTTTAAGTATATAGTTTGCCTGGGATCCGTTAAAAAAAGTGCCTGGTGAAGGGTGGGTGAAACTCTTATTATGGAAGTTCTCAGGCGGAGGCTTTTTTATCATTGTAAAAAGGCGTCTACTTGAGATCTGCCATTATAAGAGTCTCACCTACCCTTTATCAGGCACTTTTATTGATAGACCCTAAGAAGACTATGTATTCCTAAAAGCGGAGGACAAGGCTGTTTTAATGGGGGCCATCGCGGCGTACAATATGTTCATCTACAGATGTTATGAATCTTTTTACTCTAGAAAAAACTCGTAAATATCCGGAAATCACTACTCACACCATTCACCAGGCACTTTTTTGAAAGGACCCAAACAGACCGTATAATTCCTGAAAGCGGAAGAAAAGATGGCTTTTAAAACAATTTCTTTGTTGGCACTGCTGTTCATCTGAAGAAGTTACAACTTTTTTTCGTGTGAGAGTTCGTGAATGCCTATAAATGTTCTTCCTTCTATCCGATACACAGGAAATTTTTGTGCAAGTATCTTTTATGTGCTATCTCTAAGAACAAAATACCAGGCAATCTTGATCTTACTTCATCTTATCACTTTTAGTATGTTTTTAGGTTCTAACTGAGTTCTTGAGTTCTAATACTTTTTTGCTTGAAACTACAATCTTTCTGGTCAAAACTTTTGTAAAGTTGCAGTAGCAAAGTGTGAGATGTTTATTACACATTAAACCCAGTGCTGTTCAAAAAGGGAAAAGTTACTTTTCTCAGATGATTCAAAATGCTATTAAAGTCACTGCGCTTAAAGTGCGTGTTATTTCTGTTTTTATTGGTTCAGGTATTCTAATTAGCTTCTACCAATGCTGTGAGATGAACTAACAGTTTTTCGATAGAAATTCTGCTTGAATCCTGAAAAGTCCCTGTTTTACCCTATTTTCAGGTGTATAAGCCGCGGGGTGGTCCTAGCCTACATTGACCACCCCGAACACATCAAATGACCTCGCAATCAAAGGACCCTATACCGTGCTGCGTATTGCCTGATATAATCGTGCGGCTTAAGAATCGCTTCTCAAAACACAATGGAGCGGCTGAGCAGCCGGGCGAAAATTTGAAAAAGTGCGGCTTATACACCTGAAAATAGGGTATATCACGCTTATCAACAAAGTTTCAATCTTACCTTAGAGTCAGCACGATTTCGAACATCA